GAAGGCGACGTTCCGGGCGTGGGTTTTGGGACCTTGTACTCGAGTTACGGGGGACTCTCTGCACACGCTTTGGGTGGTTTCCAGTTTGCGAGGGATGGGCGAGTCGTGCTTTGGTGGTCGAGAGAACATTTCTGCGGCGCCGTTCGGGTCCATGGTCATCTCTCTCGGAGGGCTTCTTTCACGACAGCTCGGTCGTCGTTGGCGGCGGTCGCGGCTGTCGGGGCTTTCCTATGCCGTGGTGCCGGGTTGTGGATCGTTGCGTTCACCCTCGCTCATCGTCTTGCGATGATTGGCGCCTTATCGCCGACGGCTGTCCGGTTGGCGGTCGTTTGCAGGGTGTGGAGGCGGAGGTGCCCGTCACCGGCTCKCAGCTTCGGCACCATCGTCCTGTAGGTTACGGGGAGAGCTGTTGCGGCTCTGTTGTGGTGTSGTCTTCGTGTCCGCACTCACAACGGCGCGTTCCGTTTGTGTTGAGGGGGTGTCATGACTTGGTGAGGATGCTCTGCGCTCTTCGCCATCCGAGCGGCGCCATTGAGTGGTGGCGCAGGTGGCCTCGGCCATGCACGCGCTGCTTACCGTATGCAAGGGCGGAGACTTGTGGGCTGTGTGATGCACCCTCCGACGGCGTCGCGAGGATGGGCCCGTCATCCACCCGACTTTTTGGAATGCGCGCTTGTGCCCGTCGTGTCCCCCATCCTGTGGTCTCGGTATGCTGCACACCGTGACGGATCGCGTTGCGTAGTGGTTCCGCTGCGTTTGGGTTGTGGGCTTCGAAGGCTTACTGTCCTCTGTCTCCTGGGTTTTGCCTGCGTCGAGTGCTGTTGGTGGTGCCCGCGACAACCGGCGGGTGTGGGCCCAGGGGGGAGAGGGGTTGTGTTTCTTTTGCGCCCCCGTGCACAGGTGGAGGCTTTCCGTCCGTCCGGGCGTGTTGGAAGCGTGGTGCATTCGTTTCTCTCTTCACCCGCGTTTCTCGATGGAGAGATGAGGCTGTGCACTTCGCTGTCRGTACGTTTTGGGCAGGCGGTGGCATCCGGCTGTGGGCCGAAGCTGTCGGTGGTTCCTTCGCGCGCGCCGTTGTTCGGGTAGTGTTGTTAACTTGCGATCTCTGGGTGTGGTGTGGGCGGGTGCTGTTCGCAGCCAATCTCTTGGGCGTGTACGGCGGGCTGTGTTGGATTGTGCGGTACCTTGCGGTTGGAGATGGCCTACGGAGGGAAGTTCACCTGCAATTCAAACAGCCGGACTTCGCGGCGTCTCGGCAGCTGATTGCACGTTCCACGATTGTTCGACGTTCTTTTGGTAGGCTGTCCGGCGTGACGTGCCTACGTGCGTCTTGGCCATCGCTCCTTGCGGCTGCTCGTCACACCCGCTACCTGGTTGATCCTGCCAGTAGTCATATGCTTGTCTCAAAGACTAAGCCATGCATCTGAGTGTCAACACTTTGCACTGTGAAACTGCGAATGGCTCATTAAATCAGTTATCATTTATTTGGTGGTCTCCTTACCACTCGGATAACCGTGGTAATTCTAGAGCTAATACGTGCAGCATATCCCGACTTCTGGAAGGGATGTATTTATTGGATAAAAGGCCGATCCAGGCTTGCCCGTTGTTGCGGCGAATCATGGTGACKTGTCGAATCGCATGGCCTTTGAGCCGGCGATGTTCCATTCAAATTTCTGCCSTATCAACTTTCGATGGTAGGATAGAGGCCTACAATGGTGGTAGCGGTCGACGGAGAATTAGGGTTCGATTCCGGAGAGGGAGCCTGAGAGATGGCTACCACATCCAAGGAAGGCAGCAGGCGCGTAAATTACCCAATCCTGACATAGGGAGGTAGTGACAATAAATAACAATACTGGACTCTTTCGAGTCCGGTAATTGGAATGAGAAATGGCGGGGCATGCGAAGGTGACGAGAGTGAAAATTGAGATCTCGCTCAATTCGCCACGAAACCGAGCAAGCTAGGGAGTTAATCGGGGGGGTTTGGGTGTTGCGAGCCTAATGATAATGCTAGATTAGTCTATAGGTTAGTGGTTTGTCCGGGGTCACTGTCGAGAGCTGCGCTCAGGGGCGGTCTTCGATAAGGTAATGAATCTGTCCGCTTTCTTGCGGGAGATTTATCCATATTTTTTACTTTTTTTTTTTCCCAGCGTGTCCCGCCACGTGTGCGAGGCCCATTGGGCTCGACCCGTTGATTCGTATTCAACGGGAAGCCCCCGTTGTATTATTCAACGGGGATTCAACGGGACCCTCAACGGTGTATAACGGGTACACCAGAGTTGAAAAAATCTCATTGCTGGTTGATAGGACGCATAGCCCATACCTCCAGCGCAGCTCAACCATTGCGAGCGCGATACCTCAACTCCAGCAGAGGGTATCACCCCTCACCATTTACCCAGAGTACCCCATCCCTTCTTCCCGCCCTTGTACACCTCCGTTTACATTGGGAATCACCTGCGTACCCCGATAGGAGCAAAGGTTAGTCGTCCGAACATTCACTTCGTTTGGTCCGTTGGGAGTTTGCCCTGCTTATGTCGTACTTTGAGAAGCTACTAATCGTCCCCAAAGCACCCTCCTTGCCCCACATGCAGTGGTCTTTCTTTCGTGATAAGCAGCTGCCTCGTCCGAGGAGACGTTTCGCACCCCGCCGACCAAGGTGTCGAGCCATGCTCGGTCTGCGCTGGAGAGAGTGCTACTAATCAACCGGCGAGACCAACTTCTGAGACAGAACGGTACCTCTAAGAGACGATGTTTCGCAACCCGCCCCAACTGGTTCAGACCCTCTTCCTTCCTTTCCGCAGGCAGGATGCTCAATTCCCCTCAAACATTTCACAAGTCCCAAGTGGGACGCACAAAAGGCAAGTGTCTTTTCGTTCGTGCATTCAACGCATCCTACCCATATCTCGCTTTCTCTCTCATGACAGTGCGTGTCACTCCCTTAACTTTCCGAGAGAAGGTTAACAACATTCGTATTTTTCATCACTACTTCAGGACACCCTTCACCACTTCAGGATGCAGCCTGCCTAAACAAGTGGTTTTCAGGGTCTTCAGACCATTCACCACTTCAGGACCATTCAGGTTTGAAAATCATGAATGGTCCTGAACAAGTGAAAACTCTGAAGACCTTGAAAACCACCTGTTTTGGCAGGCTACATCCTCAAGTGGTGAAGGGTGGTTTTCATGGTTTTCAAACCTTTCACCACTTCAGGACCATTCAGGATTTTCAGACTGCCCAAAACTCTCACTTGACCACTTCAGGACACCCTTCACCACTTCAGGATGCAGCCTGCCTAAACAGGTGGTTTTCAGGGTCTTCGGACCTTTCACCACTTCCATTCAGGATTTTCAAACTGCCCAAAACTCTCACTTTGGAATTTTCATTCCTAAATTTTCAACTACCCGATAACCGTTTGTGTACTTTCTATGCACAATGGCCGGTTCCTTCTCTTGAGCATTTTCAAGGGTGAGCTAGTTTTCCTTGGAGTCTAACAGCTCCCTTCATTCGCATTTTCTTCCTTTGTCTGTCTTTTCATAGGGCAGGATTGTTGTTTCTTGATTACTGTTGTGTTCATGTTGGTTCCTCCAAGCATTTCAAGTGTTTTGTGCATGGGTCCGCTGGGCCCAGAAGAAGTATAGAGGAGAACACCCATCCGGTCGGATCACTCCGCTGCGGGATTTTTATTGGACCTTGGTTGAAGTCGGAGCACCAACCGCTTACCAGGTAACGGAAGCCCTTCTTTCAAACGAAGAGGAAGGGGCGACATGCAACTTCCCACATGCCTTTCCAAAACTGGCGAATACCGGTGGCGGAAGAAGGGGGGCTTAGGCCACTCTCCAAAAATGAGCGCGCCGATCAATGGTGCAAGCATGCATGTTGTTCCTCCAGGTCTGGCCCTGTCATGCGCCCAGCCACTCTCAAATCTGATTCTCTCAAGGGAAGAGCAAACTCAAGTCCTCATTCCTTTCTCTTTGATTATGTACACAGTCATGGGCGCCCCCTCCGGGATGGCAAGGGTCAGTTTAACTCCCTACCCGACACCTCTACCATTTTTGTAGGGTCTTGCCCTATTAGACTTTCGAGCCTGAGTCGACCCTTCTGCGGCCCCCAGTTGCCTCGGTTGCGCCAACGCTCATGCTTAGGGCGTGGAGTCATTCGTCACAGGGTCAACCCCACCTAGTGCTTTGAGATATATGGGGGTGAGTCATCGAGCGAGAGAGCTTTGACATTGGGAACGTAGCTCGGCTTTCTCGCTAATGCAACAGTTGTGTTGTTCACTCGCAGACCTCTTGTTCTTGATACTTTGCTTGTATTCTCATGTAATCGCTCTTTCCAATACACAGGCAGTCTAGGGAGTTCGTTGAAAGTTATCTTCTGTTATGCGCAGGCTAAGCGTCATCCTTAGGTCACGCATCCTTTTCCTAACGCAGTAGTCCCATGGTTTCATTGAGGTGCGGGAACGCCGTCGTCCCCTTTTGCAAATTTACGCACTAGCACTCATTGTCTCCATTCATCATACATCGCATTTGTTGTTTTTCCTAAGTACCGCCTAGTCTTTTCGGGGTCCCCACCTGCATATTTCAAAGGACTTGGCGGCCATTTCGACCGCTCGATACTACGCAACACTTAAATCAACACACAACATCCCTTTCTCTCTCTCTTTTTTTCATCCAAAACTCAAGGCTGCATGTTGAAGGTTTCAATCATAGTCAGAGTTTACGTCCCCGGACGCGTGACCTTTGTCTGTCCTTTTCCCCTTGCCACCTGGCATACCCAGGCTCAGTCCAGTTCAAGACATCTCAAGGCTACTCACATGCGCACTTAATCATAATGCAAACAGATACAACCTCATTCAGGGTCAACACATAGCCCGTCCCACATGCCTGCTCTTCATGTCCTTAGGTTCCTTCCCTTCTCGTTTCCTTCCGGCACGCAAGCCATCCTCTTCTCTTAGCGATGTAGTCGGGGTTCTGGTGAGTGAATTGACCTCTCTTTCACTTGGCAATTCTCTCAAGTCTCTCTTGGACTTTATCAAGCGTCAAGCTTTGTTAAGCTCTTCCTCTATTTATCTTGTTGGTGGCACAAGGGACCGGCAGCCCTCCCCTTGCGCTCTTTCTCCACCAAGTGAGATTGAAAGTTTTTTTTTTGTTTGTGCCCTAACAATGTAACAAGTGAATGAGGGAAGGGTTAGTTGCATGCTAGGAAGAAAAGGGGGGAGAGAGGGTGAGGGTTGACCTTGGGATTTGGAAGCGGAGGAAGAGATAGTCATTCAGAGCTAGGAAGGAAGGAGAGAAAGAGAGAGAGAGAGAGAGAGAGAGAGAGAGAGAGAGAGAGAGAGATGGAGAGAGAGAGAGACAAAGAGAGAGAGAGTGAGAGAGAAAAAAAAAAATGGAGAGCCCCTAGGCCTAATCCAACTTGCCCCCCACTCATCCTACCATCCTACCTACGACTCCTTCCACGACTTGTTGCCTTATATGCCTTGGCCAACAACATTGGTTGGTGACCAAGGGGATGAAGGAAGGTGCTTGGCTGTGGAGGATGGGTGAAGGGGATAGAGGTGGAAGAAGGTGTTTGGCTATGCAGGATGGGTGAGGAAGATGGAGGTGGGAGAAAAGGTGCTTGGCCATGGCGGATGGGTGAAGGAGAAGGACGTGGAAGGAGTGAAGGTGCTCGGCCATGGTGGATGGGTGAAGGAGATGGAGGTGGGAAAAGGTGTTTGAACGGGTAAAAAAGATGGAGGTGGAAGGAGGAACGAAGGTGATTGGCTATGGTGGATGGGTGAAGAAGATGGAGGTGGAAGAAGGTGTTTGATGATCGTCCAAATTATGTAAGATGTCCATGTAACTCCATAGTCACTCTATCTATATCCTACTGAAGACCTCCCTAAAGTTTGACCGGATTCCGTCTCCGATACTTGCGTGTTTCGGCCACCGCCCAAGGCTCAAAGTAAACAGTTAAGGAAATTTCATTTTCAGTTTTCGCAGGAAACGGAAACGGAAAATAGACTCTGATGCCCTGGTGGTTTTACAGGCCATCTATATATGCCTAGGATATGGGGCCTGTTCCGTCCCGGCACCCATATCCCTTGTTTGGCGGGGTTAGTTTTTAGCTTCCCATGGCCGAAGCGGCCCGTTGGCCGTTCCGGACCGGCCTTCGCCCTGGGGCTGGACAACGATTTTCACAGTAGCAGCAAAAGCAAGGCTTCGGTCAGGCATCAGTAGCAGCCACAACAGTCCCTCTTTCAGTAGCGGCATCAGCAACAGCAACAGCAGCAGCCCATAGTCCCCTACCTATTCCCTGCTCTTACCGTGTTTGAAAAGAGCACGGGGTGGCGAAGCGATATTCAAGTAAAGCACGGGGGGGATTAGTATGTCATTCAAACAAAACACATGGGGTGGGTTCTCATGGTTAAAAAGTATTTGTTGTCTACATGCGGTCATGCTAAGAAAACTAGACGAACATAAGGTTTATCTTTTTCACCCCGCTGAGAAGGACCGACTAAACACGAAGAGAGAGGAAGTAAACTCACTCTTACGCATGGGCAATCAAGATGCAAGGTAGCGAATTGCTTTGGAGTGGGGAACTGGACTAATCATGAACATGTGATGCCCTATGTACATCAAGAACAGAAAAAAGTACAGTTGCAATTCTTACCCAAGCGGGGAGATCATTAAAAAACGAAGGAAGAGTGAGTGAAACTCACTCATATGCCTAGAAACTGAAAAGACAAAGTGGCGATTTACTTTGGAGCGGGGAAATGGACTAATCATGGTCATATGATAACATCAACATAAAAAACAGCAAAGACAAAGTTACGATTTATACCCAAGCGGAAAAAGAAAAAAAAGTGCGTAAAACTCACG